CAATCACAACAGAGCCGACCAGCTAACCAATCAGAGCAGACTGGTCTCTGGTTTCAGACAGAGGGTGAAAAGAGGTGCTGCAGCACAGGCAGTATGAGAAAAATAAAGAGCTTTTTGAACATGGAGACATGTCACAGGAGAGACACTAAATAACATAACTTGAATCATGCTGCCCCAATGTGGAAGTAGAAAGTCTTACCTTAAATTTGGGTTTAATTCTCTGTTTTTCTCACGTGCATTGACAGGCTCCTTCCATCTGATCCGGATGCTGTTGGATGAATACATCCTGCTGGCTCTGGAGACTCAGTTCAACAACGACAAGGAGCAGGACCTGCAGAACCTGCTGGACAAATACATGAAAAATGCAGGTATCAAATATAAAAATAAGGTCTACAGTCTGTTTTTTCTTTTATCATCAAACACATAGTAAAGGGGAAAGTCCACATAACTCTGAATTACAGATGTTTCTAACTTTGCGGGATGATTATATAGACACCTTTTAATTTAAAACATGTCATAATGTGTCTCACAAAAAGGCAAAAAGCTAAGGAAATGTACAGTAAATAAAATCAAGGATCAATCAAATGCATACTTGTCAGGAATGAGTTGTCTTAAGAGTTTCAAAAGTGTTATTTTTAATAGAAGTACATATTTTAAAATGAGTAAATACCCCAAACTATAGAGTTTAACCAGATTTAGTTGATGATGGGATGTTAACTTTGTCACTTTCAGATGCGAGTAAAGCAGCGTTCATTGCCTCTCCCAGTTCCTGCTTCCTAGCCAATCGCAACAAGGCCAGCGCTGCCATTGACCAATCGGTGAAGAATGAGTCTCTGGGAGAACACGCCTACATGTCTCTCTCCACCAATCAGCAGCAGAGTCTGGAAGCAAGCGCCGCCATCTACCAGGAGACGGGTGGCTTTACTGTTTCAGGTAAAAGAAAAATAATTTAACATTTCCTTTAAAGTAGATGACAAAATATATCGTTTTTCACTGCCCAAAAAACATAATTATGAGCAGGTGCCTTTTAAGGTTTTTACTTTTGTATGCACAAAGCAATGTTAACTGTCACCTTGCCTTGTTAAGTTGTCTTTCATTCTTCTAGTTTTCTAGTTTTACAAGACGAGTTAATGTCAAAGAATGGTTTTCTAATATTCACTTTTTCTTATTATGTGTATTAATTGGTCATTTTGTCAACAAATAATAATCCAACAATGTCAGTCCTTTTTCTGCCAGTCCTTTCACAATAAGAATTGACAATTAACATTTGTCATTAAAGCCTTAATATGGACATGAGTTGTGAGCAGTTTACCCAAAAAACATTAATGTTAGGGGCCTTTAAAACCATAATTATGAGCAAAAAGACGCTAAAATGCTGCGTATATCTGCAGAGAATAATTGATTAGTAGAGACGGGAAGTAGTGGAGTACAAATACTTCGTTACTGTACTTAAGTACATTTTCTGGTATCAGTACTTTACTCCACGACAACTTTTTACTTTGACTTCTTACACTTTGAACACAAATACCTGTACTTTCTACTTCTCACATTTTCCAAACAGGCTGGTTCCTTTAGTTTGAATGTGTGTTTGGTGGCGTGATCATTATTATTTAGAGTCATTGCGTGCCTATTGATTTGAACACGATCCGTGTATCCATCATTTCCTGGTCTTCTCTAAAGAAGAGGGACCAATGAAAACGTTGTCATGTTGCCGTTGGTCACCATGGAAACATTCATTAGCTAACAATGACATTATTGTTCTATTAATATAAAGGGAGGTCAGGTACTCTTTAAAACAGCTGCTAGTTATGGGTACTTTTTACTGAAGTACATTTCAAAGCCTCTTTACTTTGACTTGAGTAAAGAAGTTTAGTCAGTACTTCTACTTTCACCAGAGCATTTTAAACACGAGTATCTGTACTTCTACTTGAGGAAAGGATGTGTGTACTTTTGCCATCTCTGTTGATTAGTGCAATATCAAATAACCCAATCCTGTAATGTGACCACTTCCTGTCCACAGGGGGTCAGATGGACTTCTCTCAGGTGAGCGGCCCCCTCATGACGCCCCCTATCTCTCCGGCAGCGTTAGTGCACCGAGGCTCCGTCATCAACCAGGGCCCGATGACAGGGAGGCCCCTACATACTTCCTCTTCCTCCTCTTCCTCCACCTGCGCCTCCTCCTCCTCTTCCTCCTGCCTCTCCTCCCTCAGCGCCATGACCCAGCCCGGCCCCTGCTCTTCTTACCCGGAGACCCTGTACCACTGCTTCCCTCAGACCAGCTCCAGCTACTTCCCTTCAACCGGGGCCTCCACAGGGGCAAACTACCAGACTGCACTCAGGTCAGCTTATATTATATGTATTTTTTTCATGAAGTAGAAATAAAATAAAACAAAGAAACATGCATATACGTTGAATACGAAAATTAAATTCCAAATTCAATGTTTAAAGTTAATTTTTTCTGTCAGAAATTTCATTTTTTGGAAAATTGAGCATTATTATAATAATTACAATTAAGCTTAATAGAAACAAGACGCATTTTTTTCCTTTGATGACCTACTTTGAACTTGTATTGAAGACAACGCTTCCTACTGTATTCTTCTTTGATCCTACGGAAAAATAAAATATGATTTGTTCTCATTAAAAAGTCTGAAACTTTATTTTTGCTCCATGTTTCAGGCCTCAGACTCAGAGTCAGTGTCTGGCTTCGGTCCCGTCTCCCTCTCTCGCCTACCATCTCTCTCGGTACCAGAACTTCAGCGACCAGCAGCTGAGTAAAGACGTGTTCTTCCAGCCGTCCTCCAACAGCACCAGCTGCTCTCTGGGTTTCGGCTCTGCGGTTCGGCCCGGCTACTCCTCAGGCTCAGAGGCAGCAGAACCGAGCCTGGACGCTCAGATGCTCGACTCTGCGGAGATCAGCTTTGTGGGTCAGGGCCAGACGTACTCTGCTGCAGGACACAGCGGTAAGGAGGGCATTGTGGGACTTAAAGGTCTCCTATCATGCAAAATGCACTTTCTGATGTCTTTTATACATAAACATGTGTCCCCGGTGTGTCAGGGAACTCACGCAGCGTCAGAAAATAAAACTCTCTCTCTTTTCCTCCGTACCCAACTCTCTAAAAACGGGGCTACAACGGAGCTGATCCAGATTTGCGTCCGATATGACGTAATATCTGAAATGTGGACCCACGGCCCTATCAGAAACGTTGCTATCAGAATAAATGCGCGACGTGTTTTGGACATAATATGGTCTTTGTTTACATTAGCAAGCATTGCTAACACTCAGAGCTAACCTGTACTGGAGAGAGCATGTGTGTAAAGAAGCAGGAAATAAAAAAAGGAACTCACCTTGTGGTAAACCTGAGAGAGAAAAAGCATTTGAGCTCCATACTGTTTCAGAAAAAACGTAAACTAAATGCCAAACTTCCCTCCTGTTGCAGGTTACTATGGGAACAGTTACCTGGACAACCAGCGGATGAGCTCATTGGTGGATCAGCACGTGTCCGTGATCAGCACGGTGGGCAGCCTGCGGGTGTTCCCCTCTGCGTACTCTGACGTCCACGATCCTCTCAACATCCTGGACGAACCCGGGAGGAAAACTACGGGAGCGTACTTCATCGAGACTGAGACCGGAGCAGGTGAGGCTCTATTTCAGGAAACGTAAAGAAATGAAAAGTTATAAATACATTTAATAACCGGAGAAGTAAATAAATACTAATAACAATCATTATTATTATTATAGTAATAGTCCAACTATTATTGATAATAATAAAAAATACTATTAAAAAATACTAATAAATACATTTAATTAGAATAATAATAATAAAGTAATAATATTAATAACAATACTAATAATAACAATAATCATAAGAATTAGTACAAACAATATTAATAATAATAAAAAATACTAATACAAAATAATGGTAAATACATGTAATTAAAAATAAATAAATAATAATAATAAATTACTAATAATAATTCATAAATCTCTAAAAATATCAAAAAGAAAAATAAGAAATGCACAAAATAATCAGAAAAGTAAATAATAATTATAACAATAATAATAATACAAACTAAATATATAATACTAATAGTAAAATAAATTATGACATTATAGTAAAACGTTTAATTTATGATAGATTTGCAAAACACTCAATTAATTAAAGTGAAAATGATCATAAAAGACACTAAAAATATACAAAACACAACATCATGTACACTTTAAAAGCAAAAAGTTGAGTTTTGTTTTGTATATTTTGAGTGTATAATATGTATTTTATTCTGCTTTATAAATGGACATTCATAAATGAATAATCCAACACATCCAACATGCGTTATTATAAATCAAACACCTTGTTAAATACCGTTCTGTTTCCTCGTCCTGCAGATCATTCCCTCCCGTCTTCAGGATCTGCCCCCTGCATGTTTGGAGTCCCGTCTCCGTTCACCTCCCAGGATGCATTGCTCTCTCAGCAGCGCGTGCAGTCATCTTCAGATGTGCAGGACCTGGTGTCGTCGCTGCCTCCCATCAACACCGTCTTCATGGGAGCAGGGGGAGTACAATGACTGCAGGAAACACACACTACCTAACAAAACAACTACTTCTGGATGTTTACAATCAAATGGATCGGCAACATTTAGCACAAATCACAGAAACATAGAGCCTTGTGCACGAAGATATACAAATATGAGATGATATTATTATTTACAGAGAAAAACCTACATGACACCTGCCAATTATTTACATCTCCCACTGCGTTATGAACCAGAAAGAAAGGAGCAATATTTATTTGTATAAAAATGTGGAGTATTAATTTAAAAGCATACACATTATAACAATAGACATGATGATAAAGATATTTATAGCATCTCCTCAAATGTATTTTTCAATCTTTCCATTTTCCCTTGTTCCTATAAGACGCCATTGTTGTAAATAAACCTTTGTTAGTCAGAATGGTGTTCAATCTTTATTGACAAGACGACACAGCTTTACATTCAAAATAGCAGCAAACGTAACACATATTTGTATATTCAAATATCAGTATAGTGTGTCTCTACTTTAAAGAGTCCTCTCCTGCTGATGTTCAGGTGTATATCAGTATGTAGTGTCTCTACTTTAAAGAGTCCTCTCCTGCTGATGTTCAGGTGTACAGTATATTAGTATGTCGTGTCTCTACTTTAAAGAGTCCTCTCCTGCTGATGTTCAGGTGTATATCAGTATGTAGTGTCTCTACTTTAAAGAGTCCTCTCCTGCTGATGTTCAGGTGTATATCAGTATGTAGTGTCTCTACTTTAAAGAGTCCTCTCCTGCTGATGTTCAGGTGTACAGGACTGTCTCAGAAAATTAGAATATTGTGATAAAGTTCTTTATTTTCTGTAATGCAATTAAAAAAACAAAAATGTCATACATTCTGGATTCATTACAAATCAACTGAAATATTGCAAGT